TTGATAGCAGGTGTTGTAAAACCGAAAACTCAGAGTTCCCGACTTGAGGCTGGATCAATTTAGAGTTGCAGATTTCAATCTAAGTTTGTTAAACCTGCTTCATGAAACTGACCACAGAATGGTGGAAGAAAGAGCTTATATCTAATGATTGGCAGATCTAAGTGGAAATGCATTGTTGAAGCCAAATCTCAGTAAAGAATGGCTTGACTGACTTCTGATTTGATAGAAAGGCAACAGTAACTGAAAAAAAGACTTGGACATTTTGTACACACAGGTATAAACCAAACGAAATTTCTCTGGACTATTTCATTTTTTAAAGTGCAGCCTTATAAAAACAACTAAAAAAAGTTATGTAAACATATGCCTGTATAGTAACTGTTGCAGCATTCAGTTTTTTTTCTTATAACCCATTTTACAAAAAATAATTTTCCAACCATTGTTCAGTTAAGGTGGAGAGCAGTATTATATTTAAGGATGAAACAATCTTTTGAAATAACTATTAAAATATGTTGTCATTAACTGTCATTGTACTGCAGTTAAAGATTAAACATAGGTCATATGCTGAAAAACACCCTTTAGAGCAGTAATTAAGCCCAAACTACATTAGAATTCACTTTGGATTAAAGTTGAAAAAACTATGTAAATATGATTTACCTGCATGCATTCTTTTCTACATATGATCAAGTGTATACCAAAGAAATGCTATCTTATTGCATTTGATACCATAAAATATACATTTTCTTCAGAAATATTTGCATTTTGTTTGTAACCATTTTATGTATTTTTACTATTGCACAAAATAAAGTGAAATTCATCAGAATGTGCCAATTTTTACTTTGATAAGAATAAAAAGTGATGATAAACAACTTCTCAAGCTGGCTGTGTTATTGCTGGTAACTGTGTGGCTGTGATTGAATGGAACAGCAATTGTTGCCCCACAAACCCAAATAATGTTATTGAAAAATGGACCCATTTTGAATTTAGCTTCTTAAAGACACAATTTACATAAAGTGTGATTTTTTTTTTCCACTACACAGCACACAGTAACTGCATTTTTGTCAAACTTTAAAATGTGTTGGGACAAAAAGTGGGGAAAATAGTATAGGATTTAAGTGCTTTCATCTATATGAGCAGTTGTCCGGCCCAATCCCACTCTCATGTGGAATAACTGTTCTGCTTCTTTTGGTGACTCCTCATAGTGTTCTGGCAGTAAATAAAAATGTACATCTTCTTTGCAAGGACGATTTTTGTTTGAGAAACCTTTTTCCTCTTCCCCTGGTGAAAATTCCAGGTAAAGACCTGATGTTCAGAAAATCGAAGAAACGAAAGCATACTGTTAACTATATTTTCAACATCACCTTGAAGACATAACCTATGACAAATAAAGTTGTCATTTCCATGTGATGGTGTTTCAGTGTGAGGCATAAGATTTCCGCCTCAAAGGGCCGGATCTATCAAAGGTTAAGGTATCAAAGGCGCACGCTAAAAAATGTACAAACTGATCTATCATCAGCGTGCTAAAAGCATTTGGTCTTTAAAACGTGCTAAATAGCGCCTCTGATCCATTTAGTACTTTTTCTGCAATGAATATGCAATATGGGGCGTTTACACGCTAAAGTGCGTCTTGTGGGAGGAGAAGATGTAAATATATTAATTTAGCACTCGCAAAGTGATTTATCAAACTTGAACGCAATTTTGCTAACGGTATCTGACTCTATATTTAACACGTTTCAAAAGAAGGTGCAAATGGTCTGTATGCGTAATTGCGCACACATGGCAGCGGTTATTGTCGCAAGAAGGAGGCATCGAAATAAAGCAAGGAGACGCAGAGAACGCATTTTTTCACTCCGTGTGAATATTTTTGCAATGAACGAGGAAACGATCATCAAAACATATCGTTTATCCAGCATTGCCATTTTGGAGCTGTTGGGGGAACTCCGAATGGATTTGGAGCCAGCCACAAGGAGGACCCACGCAATACCAGATATCACAAAACTCCTTGCAACATTGCACTTTTTTGTATCTGGGTCATTCCAGCGTACGGTTGCAGCGAGAGCTGGGATCTCCCAATCTCGTTTCTTCAGAAGTGCTGTCCGACGGGGTCGGGGTTCTCCCCCTGCGCCTGTGGAGCAACGTGCCAAATGCTGCGGGGATCTCATCCAAAGTCACAGGCCAATACAAAACACCTGTTTTTTTTTTTTACTGCAGCACATACCACCTTAGGGAATAAAGGTTGCCGCAAACCACAAAACGCGCAAAACCATCATTTAAATAGGGCGTCTCCAACAGTTTTGCACCTGCCACCAGTTACGCAAATACTCTTGTTAAATCACCCGCAAACCATGGTTCAGCCCCTCGCGCAAAATTCCAGTTTGCGAGCGCAAATTACTGCGCGCAAAATTGGATCTTGATAAATCCGGCCCACAGTGCGTGCAGATGCACTCACACCTGCCTGCTGCCATTCCTGAGCAAGCTCTGCACTGCTGGTAGCCCGATCCTGCTGCTAAAACACTTTTAAGAGACGGTCCTGGCACTTGCTGGTCTTTCTTAGGCGCCCTGGAGCCTTTTTTGGCAACAATGGAACCTCTCTCCTTGAAGTTTTTGATGATGTAATAGATTGTTGTGATAGATTGGTGCAATCTTTCTAGCTTCGATTCTCTTTCCTGTTAGGCCATTCACAGAAGAGAAACAATGATGCCAAGTAGCAGCCTCTTTTTAAAGTGTCCAGTGGTGTCATTCTTACTTAATCCTGACAGATTGATCTCCAGCCCTGTTCTCATCACCACCCACACCTGTGTTAATGGAGCAATCACTGAAACCATGTTAGCTGGTCCTTTAAGGCAGGGCTGCAATGACCTTGAAATGTGTTTTGGGGGATAAAGTTCATTTTCTAGGCAAATATTGACTTTGCAATTAATTGCTGTTACGCTGATCACTCTTTATAATATTCTGCAGTATATGCAAATTGCCATTACATAAACTGAAGCCGTAGACTTTGTAGATATTAACATTTGAATCATTGAATCACTTTTGGCCATGACTATACAAAAGACAAAGTAGCAGGTTAAAAAGGATTCTTACGTTTTATGAGAATGCTAACTTTACTGCGAAAATTAAAATTTTAGAAACCACAAGTAAAGATGGAAACACTGGACATTGAATAACGTGACATACCTTAAAATCTGAATAAGTCCGGTCGCTGTAAGTGACATTTCTCAGAGACGTCACTAAAATTGCCAAAGAGACCATCAATGTAGAAGCTATAACCTGTTGTTAAACCATTCTTACTCCACAGTGAGAAAGTCTGGTCCATTCTGGCTGCAAGGAAAAGGTGATTGTTGCAATTAGGGCTATAAATAGATCATTTCTTTAGCTTGAATTTTTGTCTGAATTGTGTCCATATTCCAAGGGTCGAAGATACTACAGAGCTTGATGTAAACTCAGATGGTGAAAAAGGTAACCCTGCTGTAACTAAAGAAAATAATGATAGAGATTGGAACCAATATATGACTTTTTGATGCCTAATATTTTCTCATATTGGGAAGTGCTAAGCCACCCTGATCTGTAGGCCTTTCCAAAAGTTATTTAGGAATGCTAGCATTTTTACCTGCCCAAAGAAAAGAGATTAGTTTATCTAAACTCTGGAAGAAGGATTTGGACAAAAATACTGGAATACTTTGGAACAGATATTAAAAAAACTAGGCAATACATTCATTTCTATACAATTAACTCTGCCTGTAAGAGCTAAAGGCCAGACCATCTTCTTAAACATGATTCCAATTTGAGCAAGAGGGGTTCAAGATGATTTTCATAGAGATAAGAAAATGATGGGTGATGTGTATGCCTAGATGTTTAAAGCCTGCCTTTGACATACAGAAGGGTAGAGTGTTGTCTGGTATCTGAAGAGCCAGATTATTGATTGAAATACATTAACTTTTAAAAAAGTTGAATTTGTCACCAGAGAACAGCCCAAGTCATTAAGGATAATAATCAAGAGCATATACCCTACCTATGAACACCAAAGATATTGGTACCTGTAATGCAACGGAATCAATCCTAAACTTAATTGATAGTGGCTCAGTAGCTAATGCATACAAAAGAGGGCTAAGGGGACACCCTGACATGGGAGATGCAGCTGAGAAGATAACTTATTTGTAATTACACATTCTTTAGGAGAGGTATATAATAAACATATCCAGGTTTGAACCAAAAACAAATTTCGCCAATACAGTAACAGAATTTGTGTATTTGTACCTACAATTAGAAAAGATGTAAAAAAAAAAAATAAATAATAATGTGTACTTGTGATTTTTTCTATTCTACAAATACAAAACTGTGAAGAAAATAACTTTCTCTATAACTTCAAATTCACACTTACAATGCACAAATAGTTTTGAAACAAAATAATTTTTCATAATCATTCCTCCACATGGTGACGAAGGCTGCTAAAAAACACTGTTCAGACATTAAAAACATGCAGCCCAGTTCTACAGAACACAATTAGATTTATGAGAACATGATTTAAAGAATGTCTTTGTTTATTAGAATTATTGTTTATATTATGAAAATACATAAGTACAGAACAGAAACATTATGGTCCCAGCAGATAAACTTCCCCCAGTTGGAATACACATGAACTTGTCATGTACATCAGTAAGAAATGAACAAACCAGAAAAATACACAACAAACAATATGAATTTTTGGACTCTTGAGTTTTTAGTTTTCCATTACTCTGTTTTGTTAATCTTTCGTTTATTTTCCATTATATTCAAGCCGTCTTCAGTTACTCGCTGTTGCCCCCTTGTGCTTGTATCCTTTCCCATTGGCTTCCTTCTAGTTAGTTCCCCTTAGCCCTGCTTCATATTCAGCTCATTAGTTCATCCTATGTTCTGTTCTCCTTACATACACCACCTCTGCAGTCACTCAGTGCTGGTTCCTTGCTGTTGTTATGCTGCTTTCTCATCTCAGCTCCAGCTCCCCAAGAGAGTTTTCCCCTGATGTTTTTTGTATTTTTGGTCCTCAAAAACCTCCATGCAACTGTGACAATTATAAACATGATTTCAAAGTTTAAGAAACCCTTTCAATGTAAATTAATATTTATCCATCAATTATAATACTACAAACTATCTAGCAGAACATTCAATACCACTGTATTTAAAAATGCAAATCTAACTAAATATTAGTGTCACAAGCTGGTCATAGGTTTCATTACACTTAATGTAATAAAATAAATAAAATAAAATTTAAACTTTTGTATAATTTGGCACATTCTAAAAGGTGTCCCTATATCCATCCAAGGACCATTGTAGGTGTATAAACATACACAGAGTTTCAATACATACCTTCTTTCTGAGCAGCAGTGTACCGTAGAAGCAGCACCATTCTCCAAAAAGAGATTATGCCATCTAAAACTTTAATCTTATTTAAGTCTTGTTTTAACAGTGACTTTTCTTTTTTAAAAAGTTTTTTCAAAGCCAAACCTGCTAGTAACACTTTAATTGTAAATCTATATCTGTCTCTACTTGCTATTTTTCTCTTAGTTTCATGAGGAAACTAAACTTTGAAACAAAGTCCAGTGGATTGTTTTTAACTTTCTATTTTTTGTTTGTAATTTCATGAGGAAGTTCAGTCTGCCAATGTTAAACCAGCTGTGTTTTGCTACAGCCTGAAGAGGGCCGTGGGATGAGCACTATGACATGCTGGTGAACTTAAACCCTTAACATTTCATTGCTAGACTGAACATTCATTTCTGATCTGCAACATAATTTTGTCCACTCAAAACTCCTATTCAAGATATCTGCACTTAGATATCTGTATTTAAGCTTTGACCGAACAAAATATAAACCGCAGCTTTGACTATTCAGAATAGTGTTTTATGTTAATTAATTTAGACAAGTCATACTAATCACAAGGATGTTCCTAAAGGTAAAAATAGCATTTACTGCTATCAATAATGTTAATTCCAGAGAGCTAAACTTACTGACTAAATGTTAAACTGGTTTACCATACTTTCACACTTTTAAGCATCATAATTGTCGTTTTTGGTTGATTAAATGTCTGTTTTTTTTGTTCTTCTATGTTGCTTATAAAATAATGGTAAATGTGATACTTCCAGAGATTTTTTTTTTTTATAATTAACTTATATATCTGGTTTCGGTATGCACCTTGTGATGTTAAAGTTAGTACATGGCAAACATGAGAGGAGAATCCACAACATCACTTCCTTGAGTCACAATATATAATGGGGTCACAGAATGGTGTGACATTAGACATTTTTATTGATTAATTATTTTTTGCACTATTCTAAAAAAAAAAAAAAAAAGACATTTTGTAAACAGAAAAAAGGATAAGTGATGATATGTAAAATGAAGTTTTATTTTGAAAGATTAGAGAGCATAGGCGTAAGCTCACCAGTCAAATGGTGAGTGCTACACAAGAGGTCACCAGGCTGTGTCCTTAGACGTGCAAAGGTTTATCATTTCTGTGGGTTTTCATGTGAGAATTTAAATTACTACCATCAGCAAACCTTTTTCCGCATACCTTACAAAGAAAAGGTTTCTCACCTGTGTGGGTTCTGGTGTGATAAGTTAAACTACTAAGATGAGTGTAACATTTTCCACACGTCTTGCATTGAAAAGGTCTCTCACCTGTGTGGGTTCTGATGTGATAAGTTAAACTACTAAGATGAGTGTAACATTTACCACACGTCTTGCACTGAAAAGGTCTCTCACCTGTGTGGGTTTTGGTGTGACCATTTAAATGATCAACTCTTGAGAAGTTTTTTCCACATGTCTTACAAGTAAAAGGTCTCTCACCTGTGTGGGTTCTCTCATGAAGATTTAAAGCTTTTCCCTGAGAAAAACTTTTTCCGCATACCTTACATAAAAATGGTCTCTCACCGGTGTGAGATCTCATGTGGATATTTAAAGTATTTAACTGAGAGAAATTTTTTCCACATGTTTTACATAGAAAAGGTTTCTCATCTGTGTGGGTTCTAATGTGAACTCTTAAATGAGCAACTGTGGAGAAACTTTTTCCACATGTCTGACAAGAAAAAGGTTTTTCACCTGTGTGGGTTTTATAATGTTTTTTCATTGAATTCTTATCCTTCAAGGATCGTCCACAAATTTCACATACGAAAGACACTTTCTCTGTGTCCCTTTGAAACTGATTCTCTGTCATAGTGGAGCTGCTTGCCTGCTGATCTCTATTCTCCATTACAGGAGGCCTATGAAAGAAAGGCTGCTCAGTTGTGTCACTACTAAATAAGTCCTTCTGGTCCCTCCTAGGAGGCAAATGTTCTACCAACCACTGTTCATAAATAGAGGCTGAGGAATCTTCTTCCTCTTGTACTTCAAGTAATAGAGATGCTGGTTCTTCATCTTCATTCCATGGAGGTCCTGGTTCATAATGTTCTTTATTCTGTAGTAAATCTGGTTCCTTCTGTTCCTCTTTGGCCCAGGTAGACTCAGATTCCTCAATCTCTTCTTTAATCAGTTCATGTTCTGGGGGCTCTTCCTCCTCTTTAATGCACAAAGTTCCTGGTTCATCCAGTTCTTCATTTAGTGCCAGTTCCTCATTTTCTTCTTTGATCAGCACAGCTTCTGGGGGCTCTTCTTCCTCTTTTATGCAGGGAGTTCTTTGTTCTTCCTGTTCTTCAAGAAAAGGATGATCTGCGTCCATCTGATTCTCTACTTTAAAATGTTCTGGTTCAGATTCCTTCTGGTCATGACTGGACTTCCTCCCTTGGTCACTGAGCTGTTGGATCACCAAAGCAGGCTCCTCACTGTTAGTGTGAGACTTTGTGAGGTCTGTGAGGACAAAAAGAAGAGATCATTAATTTAAGGCAACTAAAGATGGTATATAAAATAAACCAAGATGCTGGTGAATGTCATGACTGTCAATGTCAAGGTGAATTCAGTCAACCAGAACATGGAGAAAAGGGTTTTAAAACCAAACTGGACTTCAGTTCTGGTACTTCAGTTCCGGGATCTAAAGTGTCGTCTCTGTCTGAAGACTTTCCTCATTTTGAGAGTTATTGATGGAAAAGATCCAAGCTTTAAAGAAAAAAAAAGTAACTGGATGTGATGTTTTTGTATCTGCTCTGTATAATCACTGTATAATGTCTGTAGCAATAAAAAGGTGTGATGGGCATCCCTGGTCCTGATAGTTTTGAATATGTTTCTACTCCAAAATACCTTGTCAAACAATTAGATGATTGCCAGAACTCCTACGTTTTAAAGTTGCAGAACACCGGATCTCAAGAACTGGAGTTTACCATCCCTGAATTAGAATACAATGAAGTGGTCAGGGTCGACCAGAACATCTGCAATCGTCTGTAATAGTGTGTGCCTGGTATGGAATAAGGTAGAGCCCTAGTCTATCTTAGTCAAAACTAAGGTGTAATTTGAGGGGATTGTCAGACAGTAAGAGACACAGTGCAAAGTAAAATACATCTGCTTTAGGGACAATAAAAAGTAATATCACTGAATCTGAAGGAAAACCAACCAGTTCTGTCCCCAAATTCTCCTTATATTTACTTCTGTGTGGTGTTGTAGTGAAGACCACCCAACCATAGAACAAGACCACCCTCAGCACCCCCACATTTCATGTCGCAAAAATTTTTTTTAACATTAACAAAATTCCTTCTTGGATTAATTAAAAGATCCACATTCCCTTAAAATAAAAGATATTAATCACTCAGCTGTGATTAGTCGACATAATCAACAATGAAAATTTGTAGACTAATATGTTTTTCATTGATGATTATTTTTGGTCTGCTTTTAAATCGCCCATTTGTTTTGGTCTGAGCAAAGGGCTCATCTGAGTTCAGGTAATTCCGCTGCACAGCGCTGGTTCTGCTGTGGGCAAACTGCTGGCAAATTCTTTACTTGCAATTGATGTCACATTCACCTTAAAACGTATGCATCACATTAAGTGGTGGTCTGCCAAGGGAGTTGCTAACTAGAGCATTCAATCATCACTTGAATATGCCTTTTGTGTGTTTTGTTAGGTAACAGATCAATAAACAGACCATTAAAGGATACTTTCGGGCTCCTTGTGAAGATATTAAAGATGCAGGAAAAATGGTCGGCTAACATTTAGTTTACCTCAGAAGTAGTTCAGAGTCAAAAAATTCTACATTTTGGGGCAATCTCTTTTTTAAAGAATAGTAATTCACTTAGACGTTAATTTACATATAAAGAGCATTTCAGTATCATGAGCAGTGATTTGTAGATGCATCCAAAGTATATTAAAAGACAGGTAGCTGTTTGTTTACTCGTCCAAGTTTACTGTTGCTAGAAAAAAAATGGATTGAATAATTTGCTGTCATTACCAATATGGAAGGATTGTCTGTATTTGTTTTGTAATAATTAAGATGTCAAGTAATTAGAGTAATTTGGAAAGGCATTTCCCTGAAAGGCATGCTAAATATGCAGCCAACCACCAAGTTGGGAGCATTTCTGGATAAATTACAGACGCCCAAAGATAGATTTAAGAAGTGGATTGCATCTCCAAACTCCACTACTGCTGCTAGTTTAGTTGTAAGCACAGAAAACTGTTCATAGTTTGAACAGGCAGCACTCTTACGCTGGTATGCGATCTTTCTTCCACTTTTTCCCCCTCAAATCACAAAAATAAAAATAACACAAAAACATCTTCGACGTGTTTCTATAATTCAATCAATGCAACCAAATTAAATGCATACAAACAAGCTGCGAAGCGTAAAAACTCCATGCAGTGAGTGTTCACTGCATGGAGTCAGACTGCTTTTTCCTGCGATTCAGAGGGAGCTGATCGCAGCGTTTTCATTCTTCCTGATTCTTCCTGAAGCATGCTGCAGCAGAGAAAGAGAAGAGCTAATCCAACTCTGCTAACCTGAATCTAACTGACCTTGTAGGGACAATAGAAAGTCCCTACAAGGTTAGTGTGACACAATGTGCGTTTGTGAATGTGCATGGTGGGGGGGTTAAGGCTTTGTTTTTAAATAAAACAATGACCATCATTCTATTTTAACTTGCAACACGGTTATTTGTTCATCTGATGGAAGCAAGTAGCTTGAAAAAAGTAGTTGTGGGTTGACTTAGCAAAATGATGAGGGGTGTTAGGCATTTCATCTTCTTTGTCCCACACCTCTGAGCTGTTCTGCAACACCAGTAACGGATGAACGGTACGAAGTTGCTGGGGAACACAGATGGATGCAAAACCATGGACTGTGGCCGTTTCTCAATAAAAAAAAAACGCTAATACGGACATGGGGGGTGGGGGTGGGGGTCTTGTGTTCTAGTGAACTGGAAGAGTGCTAGTGCTGAGGCTGATGAAGTTTCAGGAGCACATAAGCACATGATGACGCACAAGTACTCATATTTATTTCAAAAAAGTGCCTAATGCCAAATCAAGGGAGCTTTTTCTGGTACTTGCTCCAGAGCAAGTAGATTCATAACCCTGCCTCCTACTCTCCTCTGTCTCGTCTGCTGTTATGATTAATGCAGAGCAGGCTGCCTGCACACTGCACTGCAGCACAGAGAGAACCTTTGAATCAAAAGCACAGATTCAAAGCTGTTACAAATCTCGCTCAAGATTACAAAAATAATTTATAGAACAATTTTTATAAAAATTAACTGTAACTTTATTTATTTAGTCCTTTCAATATAAAAGCTAATACTCTTAAAATTCCCACAAGTTCTCATCTTTTTGTACTGCTTTGACATCTGTGTTGTTTTTGTCAACAATGTCAAAATTATTTCGTCGACGCCCCAAATTTCCTTAATCCGCTCCTATCTGTGAAGTTGAGAACTCATTAGAAACTGATCAAGCATGATCAAGGCAGTAAAAAAGTTTAAAGTCTGGAGCAGACATCAGCGTCTTCTAGAGAATACAACTTTAATACAAAAGGCGCATATATGCATTCTATTTCAACACATCTATTGATCTATATGTAAAACATGTTAGAACGGTTCATTTTTAAAACAATAGTCATTAAAAATGCTCAAACCGATTAGTCAGACGTTTTTGTAGCTTCCTACCGATTCTGTGGAGTTTTATCTGCGGGTTCCTGCAGGTTTCCATCAGTCTGATGTCTTCCTCGTAGCGGAAGATGGTTTTTTCAACCTCTGTGAAGATTTCTTCAGCAGCAGCAGTTAGTCGCTCTCTGATAAACTCCCTCAGACGCTGAACTGAAGACATTATTAGTGAAATATTCAGTTTGGAGAGGAAAATACAACAGAGTTCAAGCCGAGTCCACGCGAGCTTCCGTCGTAGTCTTTAGTTTCACTTCCGCTGGGTGAGACAAAGCAGCTGACTGGTTCATCTACCGCCCCCTCCTGGATCGAAGTGGAACAACAGAGGCACGGCAAAATCTGTCTCCAGCCTCTAAATTCCCAAAGAATATATTCTATGGGGCCAAAATTGTTGCTTTTTTATTTGCTAATGTGTGTGGAGAGTTATTTATCTGTATCTCGATTTGTGTGTGTGCAATGGGATTTGAAAATGTGTAAATGAAACTGCAAACGTATGAGGAGATTTGTGTCTGTAAAGAAATCTGCAAATGTGTAAAACTACTGTGTGTGTAATCCGGTTTCCAAATGTGTAAAAAATCCACAAATCTGTATTCAAATCTACAATTGTGTACTGAGATTTACAAATCTGTATTCAGATTTACAACTCTGCAGTACGATTTGCAAAGTTTCTCGGTTGGCTCTTTTTACACATGTGATTTTTGCTACACTTCTGCCGTATGAGACCCGCAAATGCATAGAGGATTTGTATGTGTAATATCTGGATTTGGTCCCTGAGTGCAGGCTCACAGGCTGCCTCTTCCTGCTGCGGATTTAATTACTTACATTTTTAAGTATTTATTTATGTGCATGTTATAATATTTTTGTCTGTTTTATACTTCCTTTGTATTTTTTTTTTACCCTAGTTATTTCTTCGCAGCAGTTTATTTCTGCCTGCCCTTTTTATATTTCTGTATGCATTTCTGCCTCATTATGCAAATGAGGAGGGGGTGTGTCTTAGAGAGTGATAGCTGACGTTACTTTGGAAACTGCAAAGCTTTGTCTTAAGCATCTACACTCACCGGCCACTTTATTAGGTACCCCATGCTGGTAACGGGTTGGACCCCCTTTTGCCTTCAAAACTGCCTCAATTCTTCGTGGCATAGATTCAACAAGGTGCTGGTCGTCTGCGTAGGTGTCTGCGTAGGTGTCGCAGTGAATGCAGAGACGTCCCTGCCCCCTCCATAGCTGTATATTGGTTATTTATTCTCCAGATGCACAGTGCACTTTACAGTACAGTATTTTATTGTTTACATCTTAACTCTTCCCTATTATGTTATTCTTGTACATTTTTCTAAGGTCCACATTTGTGTGACCATTTTCAATAATCTTTTTGCTGCTGTAAATTTGCCCATTATGGGACAATACAGAGATATTCTGTTCTATTCTATTCTATTGTACTCTATAAAAGGGCTAGAATGATAAAAGTAAATCTAGACAATATAAGTATAAAAAAGTACTCATACTCGTCGTCTCCCGCTTTATCCGGAACCGGGTTGCGGGGGCAGCAGACTAAGCAGAGACCTCACGATGTGATTGGTGTTGAACCTGGGGTCGGAGTCATGTGTCATCAGGTGACCATCAGGGGGCTCAGACTGCAGTCCTGAGGGGAGCCTGTGCTTAGGATGATGACATCAGAGGTTTTCTGTCCAACCCGGACTGAGTGAGATCTGTTGGTGAGAAAGTCTAGCAGCCAGCTGCAGAGGGGTGTATTGAAGCTCAGCTGTTCCAGTATGTCCATCAGATCCTGTGGGATGATGGTGTTCAAGCTTAACTGAAGTGCAGGACAGGACCTATTTAAAAATTGCAGAGACTCGTACTCGTCGTCTCCCGCTTTATCCGGAACCGGGTCGCGGGGGCAGCAGACTAAGCAGAGACTCCCAGACTTCCCTCTCCGCTGACACCTCCTCCAGCTCTGCTGGGGGTAGCCCTAGGCGCTCCCAGGCCAGCCGAGAGACATAGTCTCTCCAGCGTGTCCTGGGTCGTCCCCTGGGCCTCCTCCCGGTGGGACGTGCCTGGAACGCGTCCCGAGGGAGGCGTCCAGGGGGCATCCGAAGAAGATGTCCAAGCCATCTCAACTGACTCCTCTCGATGTGGAGGAGAACCGGCTCTACACTGAGCCTCTCCCAAATGACCGAGCTCCTCACCCTATCTCTAAGGGAGAGCCCAGCCACCCTGCGGAGAAAGATCATTCCAGCCCCTTGTATCCGGGATCTCATTCTTTTGGTCATGATCCAGATTTCATGACCATAGGCAGTGTTGGGCACGTTACTTTGAGTTAGTAACTGAGTTACTCTACAATAAAAGTAACTAGTTACTAGTAAAAGTAACTATTGCGTTACTTTTGCGAGTGTGTGAAATTAATAACTGGGGATGTCTAATTCTAAAATCCTGTGTTTGGGTTGCTATAGATACTGCAACATGTAGCTATATCCATCCATTCATCCATCCATCCATCCATCCATCCATCCATCTTTCTCTCTTTCTCCATATTGGCTAATGATCGTTCACGCTCTCCATAGTTCCCCTGTGGCGCGATCACAGGGCGGCTGTTGTGCGGCTGTTGTGTGTTTCCTGTCGCTTGCGCGGTGAATCGTGCTGCCGCGCTGTGTGGAAATGCAGGGGAAACCGTATCTGATGGGGAAACGCAGCTTGACGTAACACCGGTATTTCCATCTGGAAAGTGCTGTTTTGCCGCCGGAGTCCTCCTCACTCCCCATCCTCCCCTCTCTAATGACGCGCGCACGAGTCCTATCATGAAAAAAGGTTAATTGTGCGACCTGCAGTAATGGGGTGTCGGCAATTGTAACTGCGTTATAGTTAAAGTAAGTGTAATCATTTTGATTACTCATTACTAAAAAAAGGTAGCAGCGTTAGTAACGCTGTTACTTTCAACGCCGTTACTCCCATCACTGACCATAGGTGAGGGTAGGAACGTAGACCGAACGGTAAATTGAGAGCTTTGCCTTTTCGCTCAGCTCTCTCTTCACCACGACAGACCGGTGCAGCGTCCGCATTATTGCAGCAGCCGCACTGATCCGTCTATCGATCTCCCGCTCCATTCGTCCCTCACTCGTGAACAGGACCCCAAGATACTTGAACTCCTCCACTTGAGGCAGGGACTCTCCTCCAAACTGAAGGGGACAAGCCACCTTTTTCCGGTCGAGAACCATGGCCTCGGACTTGGAGGAGCTGATTCTCATCCCGGCCGTTCACTCGGCTGTGAACCGCCCCAGCGCACGCTGTAGGTCTTGGCAGGAGGGAGCCAGCAGACCTACATCATCCGCAAAAAGCAGGGACGAGATCAGCTGGTCCCCAAACCAGACACCATCCGGTCCTTGGCTGCGCCTAGAAATCCTGTCCATAAAAGTTATGAACAGGACCGGTGACAGAGGGCAGCCCTGTCGGAGTACAACATGCACTGGGAACAGGTCCGACTTAATGCCGGCAATGCGAGCCAGACTCCTGCTCCGCTTGTGCAGAGAACGGATGGCCCCTAATAAAGGGCCCGCGACTCCATGCTCCTGGAGCACCCCCCACAGGGCGGCACGAGGGACACGGTCGAATGCTTTCTCCAAGTCCACAAAACACATGTGGACAGGTTGGGCAAACTACCATGAACCCTGCAGAGGGTGCTTCAGGGACCTCAAGCGCTATTCCATGTCCTGGCCGTGGAACAGTATAAAAAAGTATATCTGCAAAATCTCTTATATTTAACAACAAAAAATACTTAATTAAGCATATCGTGCAAAATAGCAATTAGAAATAAAAAAAATCCTATCAGATTTATAGTCCCCACATGGCAGATATACACTTTAGATTGTATTTGAGTCAATGAGTCAATGCAATCAACTGATTTTCCTTAGATAGAAAACTTTGAATCAATCTGACTGGATGATCTGGTTGAACTGTAAAGTGCCTTGAGATGACATGTGTTGTGAATTTGGCGCTATATAAATAAACGGAATTGAATTGAATTTAGAGAAACCAAACGTTACCGCCACATATCTCTAACGTTATGCTCTCTCTGCTTTTTCTCAGAGTAGCTTTGCCTCGTCTGTTCCTGTTTGGCTGTGACACCATCCTGGAGAGAAATATCAGCTGTGCTGCTGCCATCAACACCCTTGTTTATAGATGCTGGAGATCGGCCTGTTTTCCAGTGTAGTCCTGTTTCTCTGACCGTGACTGACTGGATGTGCGCTCTTCATCCTCTGGCATGGGAGCTGGCTCGGAGCTCGTCTGCCTGGCTGTGTGTTTCCTGGACGGGGCCGCCTTTTACAGCTGCTTTTTGTATCTCTGCTTCTGTCTCCTTGAACCCCAGTCGGCCTCGGCAGATGGCCGCTCACACTGAGCCTGGTTCTGCTGGAGTTTTCTTCCTGTTAAAAGGGAGTTTTTACTCTCTACTGTGGCTACAAGCATGCTTAGTGTGAGGGATTGTATTTTAGTCAATGAGTCAATGCAATCAACTGGGTTTCCTTAGATAGAAAACTTTGAATCATTTTTACTGTATGATCTGGTTGAACTGTAAAGTGCCTTGAGATGACATGTGTTGTGAATTTGGCGCTATATAAATAAACGGAATTGAATTGAATTTAGAGAAACCAAACGTTACCGCCACATATCTCTAACGTTATGCTCTCTCTGCTTTTTCTCAGAGTAGCTTTGCCTCGTCTGTTCCTGTTTGGCTGTGACACCATCCTGGAGAGAAATATCAGCTGTGCTGCTGCCATCAACACCCTTGTTTATAGATGCTGGAGATCGGCCTGTTTTCCAGTGTAGTCCTGTTTCTCTGACCGTGACTGACTGGATGTGCGCTCTTCATCCTCTGGCATGGGAGCTGGCTCGGAGCTCGTCTGCCTGGCTGTGTGTTTCCTGGACGGGGCCGCCTTTTACAGCTGCTTTTTGTATCTCTGCTTCTGTCTCCTTGAACCCCAGTCGGCCTCGGCAGATGGCCGCTCACACTGAGCCTGGTTCTGCTGGAGTTTTCTTCCTGTTAAAAGGGAGTTTTTACTCTCTACTGTGGCTACAAGCATGCTTAGTGTGAGGGATTGTATTTTAGTCAATGAGTCAATGCAATCAACTGGGTTTCCTTAGATAGAAAACTTTGAATAATTTTTACTGTATGATCTGGTTGAACTGTAAAGTGCCTTGAGATGACTTGTGTTGTGAACTGGTGCTATATGAATAAACTGAATTGAATTGAATCATCCAGCTTGGGAAATTTTAAAATCCATGTTGAAAAAAGGAAAATAAATAAATTATAAGCTTTGGATGGACAGTTGAAAAGAAAATAAAAGAATTTAAAAAGACCAATTTAGAAATAACTCAGACAACACCAATATCAGTTATACCTCCATGGATTCTACTAGAAGCAATAGTAGATATGTCACTAATGGAAAAGAAACAAGGTAAATTGTACACGGTAGACAGTTATTATGAATATATTCAAAGTTATACAGATACATCAAAAATAACAAGGTAAATGGGAATAGCTTTTGTAATACCAGAATTCAAAATAGGAAATGAATTTCAGATGGATTATCACGATACACAGGCGAAATGTTGGCAATATTATTTGCTTTACTAGCTCTAACTGGGTAAAAGACTTTAAACCATTAAAAACAGTAATAAGTAAGCTTTGCAATATTAAGTTTAAAATATGATCAATCAGATAGTAGGATGGACATTCTATTAGATATATTTCATACATTATCCAGAATAAAAATATGGGTTTGATAGTTGTATTTATGTTCCAGCACATATGTTGGATTCAGAAAAAGATGTTGAAATCTCTGAAAGGTCGGACACAGGCGAGAGCGTATCGGGAGACGGAGACCAACAAGACCTCCCTCATCCTTGGCTCCATCTCAAAGAATTTTTTGAAATTGTCAAAAAATTGAGCTTTCAATTAATATAGTGGCATTTGGCTGTTTTTTTTTAAAGGTTACTTTATCCTTTTATATTTTAAGTAGTTTTTGGAGCACATAATTTTTCACTTTTACTTGAGTAAGGAGGTCAAGTTGATACTTCAACTTTTACCAGTGTTTTTAAACTGCAGTATCTATACTTCTACTTAAATAACAAATGTGTGACCTTTTGACACCACTGCAAATTTGATCACTAAGGAAAATACGAAACAATAGAATATGCTATTCTAGAATGTCATAAATATGAAAGCGAGAGAAGATATATGAGGAGAGAGTTTGAATGTATTAGGAAAAAGATTAATTTATAAGATATTTTGAGGAAGAATTTAGGGAGTAAACATATACAAATAATTATTAGATTTTTAAAGAAAACTAAATTATTTCATAGAATTTGATTATAGAGAGCATGAATGTCTGTATCATATAGACAGGTAGAATACAAAGTTGTGTATAAGTATGTAGTTTGTTTTATTGTTTTATTGTTTGTTTGTTTCTTTTCTTTTTTCCCTTATAAATCATATATATGTTCATTCAGTAGATAGTCCATCACGAACCAAACTCCATACATTGGCGTTAATGCTACTAAATGTTTGTTGCCAACCGCCAATAAACCCAACGAGATGAAGAAGATAGAGTCGTTCCAGTTCACACTCCAGATCAGTGGGGGCGGTAATGCGCACTTGCAGTTTGTCAACCGCCAAGAAAAACCTACAAAGAAGGAGAAGAAACAGGAAGTAAACCAAAAAGCGCGCGGAAGCGGTAGTGCGGAATCAGATTGAAGCTTTGTTTTTTTTTCCCGTCTCTCTGCCGAATATTTCAGCAACAATGTCTTCAGTTCCACATCTGAGGGAGTTTATCAGAGAGCGACTAACTGTTGCTGCTGAAGAAATCTTCACAGAGGTTGAAAAAACCATCCTCCGCTATGAGGAAGACATCAGACTGATGGAAATCTACTGGAAACCTCAGATAAAACTCAACAGAATCGGTAAGAAGCTACTAAACGGTCATTCAGTTAGATCAATTTTTATTAGTGATTGGTTAAAGAGACATGCTAAAGCGTTTTGACTCAGTGCCAAACTATTGATACTGCATTAATACTGTCTCACAGAATACTGCCACCTGCTGGACATTTAAAGACACTACAGGCAGCTCATTGGACAGACTAAACTGAATTGATTTGATGACCTAAAACAATGATATAATTTTACTTATTGTAGGTTATATTGTATGACTTCATATCTATGTTTAAGTTAAAAATATTTTTTATATTTTGTCATAAATTGAAGATTTAGAGGAAAATGTGAATGGGGATGCTTGTCGACGAGTATTTTAAATCATGGTTTTAAAACAATAAGTACAGTAAATAAACTAAGAGTCAGTTTGAAATGAACTTTAATTCAGATAAGTGGAGTGATAACTGAGAGGAGAAGGATAACTCAATGAGAAAAATTTAATAAAAACGCAACGGCTGAAACGTTCCTATTCCTTTTAAGCTGCTCCAAAATTGTTCATAGTTTTAATGATCAACAGCAAAAGATGAGATTTTTTTTTTTTTTTTTTTAGCAAATGCATCATGGTGACAAGTTTTTAAACACAGGTTAGTGAGTCGATCATAAACAACTCCTGTATCGGTCACATGACTTTCTTGAAATGACGCACGTTTTGCTGTATGGGCTCCATGCATGCACTGAAGCAGGGGGAGATTTACCATTGGGCAATTCCCAGTTGCCTAGGGTCCCAAGTTCCTGGGGGCCAAACATTCCTTATTTGCAAATTATGGTTTTGATAAAATTTATGGTAGTAAATCTGTGTCGCTGGGATTTGAATTAAAAATGCCACTTAAAGTTAAATGTTGTATGTTTGTACTTACTGTTTCAGTGTTAAAATATATTCAAAACACATTTTTGACCTAAATAGAAGTTCATTGTCATTATTTCTACGCAGTTGAAATTTTATTTGTTATTTTCTCTTCACGCTAAAAATTCACATTACTAATTTAAAGTGATTACATTTTCAATACTTATTTTTTAGTTTCAATACTTATTTTTCTGCAAAAGATCTGTTTAGAAATGGGCTTTTTTTCCTCTTAAAACACTTCTTACTTAGCATCTTCAGGTTAAAAGTAATAGGTAATAGTTGGTTAAGTAAAGCCATCAATCTGGCTTTTAGCTAGCAATATTCAAAGGGTGTTTGCCTTTGTGTATTTAGGCTTTGCATGGTGAGGGTATCCTCCCCCTGAAAATGTTGAAATTCAGACTAGGGCTGCAACAACGAATCGATAAAATCGATAAAAATTGAATTTTAAAAGCGTTGGCAACGAATTTCATCATCGATTAGTTGTGTTGCGCGATTAATGCGTCATCCGCAGCCACCGTCATCTCATCCACTTGACTGAAACGGGGGAAGAAAAAAAATACGACAGAGCGAGTGACTAGCCACAAATCTGGCGACTTATTACGGTGTCACTGGCGGCTTTTGGAGACTCTTACGTGAAAGCATGTATCGTTCCTACTCTGCCGTGGGGCGCCTTCCCATCCCCCGTTCTCCCGCTTCCGCAGGAGTCCCTCTCAGCGCTGCAGTCAGAGCTGCAGGATGTTTACCCTCAGTGTCCAGACTGCAAATGAAGCGCGCATATGCTGGGATTGACGGCGCAAATTGATCGCAATAATTAAAATAGCCTGCGTTTTGTAAAGTGAAAAAAGTCGTAACATGCAACTTTTGTCAAAACAAATGAACATGGCACGGAACCACCATGTTTGTTTGGTTTTAAAGTGGGGAAACGTAACGTTAGTTTCTCAGGTAGCTCATCTGATGCTTTCCTTACCTTGTTAGTAGTTTACAGACAGTGATAAGGTTGGCTACTTATTTTACTTTTAATTTCATTTGAATTAGTTTAAGCAGCGTTTATATTTTCTTTATAAATAAATTAACTTGCAAATTATGAGGGCAAGGCTTTTAAAGTTTAAATCTTCTGGCGAAGATAAAGTAAAGAAGATCCTGCTATTTATGGAAGTAAAGCAGAATTAAATCCAGCAAGATCAGTAATATGTCAATTAATTATATTTGCCACATTCCCATGTAAATATCTGTCTTTGGAGGATGTGTTTTTTAGCACCCCTAGTTCTCTCATTTTTATTCCAAATACAATTTATAATTTGAATCACAGGGCTATTTTTATCTCTATGGTTCAGTATTTTCTCAAGTAGCAACTTTAACTGCTATACTTTCCTGTCTTAAAAGGCAGAACTCTTCTAGTCTAAAAAAAACTCATTTGTTGAAATGGGGGGGCCTATTGTTTGAACCCCTTAGGGCAGTGGTTCTCAAACTTTTTCTGTCATTCCCCACTTTGGACAAGGGGGAATTTTCAAGCCCCGCCTGTCCCCATCGCCCCAACACAATGCTAATGAAATATTCAACAATCTTAAAATGTTCCAATTTTATTGAAGTAACAAGTAGTATCTAAATACAAACTATCTACATCAAATAACAGCAAGCTCAAAAATAAAGAAAATAAAAATGCAGCTGTGTCAAAATTTGTATCAAGCTCAAAGATAGAAAAAATTAAAGTTCCACTCTGCAATCTGTTAATAAAAGAAAAGAAGTGAAATCCATCTGGCAATACAGGTATATTTATCCCTGCATTAGTGGCTGCAATGAGCCTGTTTTGCATTGCAGTTTCTCAAAACGGGGTTGCAGGCTTGATACTGCCACTCTCAAGTCATGCTCAATGTTCTGCTGAGATCTGTATTTTGTTTTCATTGAAGCAACAGCTGAAAAGCTATGGAGAGATATTTGTGCCATCGGTTTGAGCGCGCAGGAACCAATCCGAGCGCGCAGTGAGACAACACGCGCGCGCGCAAAACCGGTCTGGCGCGCGCTCAACTCTGAAAAACCCTCTCAACACACTGTTCTCGCGCTCAGTTTCATCTCTGCGCGTGCTCGAATCCGTCTCTGCTCGCGCTTGCTCTCCTGCTCTCTCTCCGCGCTCAACACCAGCTGTGCGCTCGGCTGTTTCTCTGCTCGCTCGACTCTCTGCGCTCGCAACTTCAGCAATGTATGTAAATGAACCATACCATCAGCCAATCACACTCAGCTTCTTTTCATCCAATGAAAGCATTCCTTCCTTCTTCTTCTTTTCTATCATGGCGGTTCGAAAGCAACTTCAAGGTGCATACCGCCACCTACTGTTCATGAGTGTGTAGCAACATTGTTTTACATCTATTAAATTCTATTTTTTAATTTTGCATTCTGAAGATAACTAAATAATGCTTTCCTTAATCTATAAACATCCTTTATATTTCCTTTATTTCCCAATAATCCTTTAAGACTCCATTCTTGGCCTGTCATTTCAACTACTCTTCTCAATTTTTCCCTTTCAGGTTCATATGTTTTACAGTTCATTAATATGTAAGCATTCGTTCCAAATACTACATCCGGTTAGATGAAAAAAAAAAAAATAAATAAATAAAAACACAATCAGGAAAATCAAACTACTCTTACAGTTATTTTGTCAACATTCCTAAGATAGTACTATAAAATATCTTGAATTATCTCAAATAAACTTCAGTAAAACAGTTATTAGATCATTGCCTCATCCATCTCTTTTACCTGCTATTGACATGGATTTAAATTTGCTGTTTTAAAAGAAAAATAAGGAGGATATTTCAGGTTCAAGTATGGTTCAACAGTATATAGATAATGTTTTGGATCATATTGGCCTTACTCTTAGCTTTTGTGGCGGGTGTTTCTTCTTTTTGTTGTTTTTTATGGAGGTTGGCAAACAACAATTACCGCCACCAACTGAAAAATCCTGTTTATCAAATTATTATTTTTAATATATATAATAAAGAATAACCCTCTTATTTAGAGTCCATCTGTAAAAGGTCTTCTAAATAATAATTGTTAAATTTCAGATCAGGTCTGCTGTCTGAATAATTGCGTTTAAATTAATATAACAGTCGCTGATCTAAAATCAGAGCAAACTAAACTTCTTAATGGAACGATTTCTTCAATCCATTGTAAGGCCAATATGATCCAAAACATTTCTCCTTTGTAGGCTGAATTCCATCACTGATTCTTTTACCCGATTTAAAAATAAATTATGAAACTAAAACAAAACACCATTCCTAATATTGGAATATTTTGAAGCATCCATAAAAAATTTAACATATCCATAATATTTTTTATCTATATATTGTTGAACCATACTGGAACCTGAAATATCCTCCTTATTTTTCTTTTAAAACATCAAATTTAAATCCATGTCAATAGCAGGTAAAAGAGATGGATGAGGCAATGATCTAATAACTGTTTTACTGAAGTTTATTTGAGATAATTCAAGATATTTTATAGTACTATCTTAGGAATGTTGACAAAATAACTGTAAGAGTTGTTTGATTTTCCTGATTGTGTTTTTATTTATTTATGTATTTTTTTTCATCTAACCGGATGTAGTATTTGGAACGAATGCTTACATATTAATGAACTGTAAAACATATGAACCTGAAAGGGAAAAATTGAGAAGAGTAGTTGAAATGACAGGCCAAGAATGGAGTCTTAAAGGATTATTGGGAAATAAAGGAAATATAAAGGATGTTTATAGATTAAGGAAAGCATTATTTAGTTATCTTCAGAATGCAAAATTAAAAAATAGAATTTAATAGCTGTAAAACAATGTTGCTACACACTCATGAACAGTAGGTGGCGGTATGCACCTTAAAGTTGCTTGCGATCCGCCATGATAGAAAAGAAGAAGAAGGAAGGAATGCTTTCATTGGATGAAAAGAAGCTGGGTGTGATTGGCTGATGGTATGGTTCATTTACATACATTGCTGAAGTTGCGAGCGCAGAGAGTCGAGCGAGCGGAGAAACAGCTGAGCGCACAGCTGGTGTTGAGCGCGGAGAGAGAGCAGGTCGAGCGAGCGCGAGCAGAGACGGATTCGAGCACGCGCAGAGATGAAACTGAGCGCGAGAACAGTGTGTTGA